AGAGGACACGAGGAAATGGAAAAATATCCCCTGTTCATGGATGGGGAGAATCAACATCATCAAAATGGCAATACTTCCCAAAGCACTATACAAATTCAATGCAATCCCTATAAGGATACCCATGACATTCTTCAAAGAAATGGAGCAAACACTCCTGAAATTTATATGGAACAATAAGCCCCCGCGAATAGCTAAAGCAATTCTTGGGAAAAAGAAAATGGGAGGAATCAACCTCCCTAACCTCAAACTCTACTACAAGGCAGTAATAATTAAAACAGCATGGTACTGGAACAAAAGCAGAGCTGCAGACCAATGGAACAGAGTTGAATATACTGACATTTCCTCCCAAACATATAATCATCTAATTTTTGATAAGGGGGCAAGAAAAGTGAATTGGAGCAGGGAAAGCCTCTTCAACAAACTGTGCTGGCAAAATTGGACGGCTACATGCAAAAAAGTGGGCTCAGATCTCTGCCTAACACCATGCACAAAAGTAAGATCAAAATGGATTTATGACCTCAACATCAGACCAGAATCCATAATGTTTATTGAAGACAAAGTCGGCAAAACTCTCCATGATATTGAAGCTAATGGTATCTTCAAAGATGTCACGCCACTGGCTGAGCAAGTGAAAACAGAGATAGACAAATGGGACTATCTTAAACTAAGAAGCTTCTGCACCTCCAAAGAAACAGTGACCAAAATACAAAGACAGCCTACAGAATGGGAAAGGATATTCACCAAGTACACATCCGACAAGGGGTTGATATCAAGGATATACAAGGTACTGGTTAAACTCCACAAGAAGAAATCACCCAACCCCATCAAAAAATGGGGTGAGGAAATGAACAGAAACTTTCGCAAAGAAGAAATTCGAATGGCAAAAAGGCACATGAGAAAATGCTCTACATCACTAATCATCAGAGAGATGCAGATCAAAACCACAATGAGATATCATTTCACACCACAGAGACTGGCCCACATCCACAAGAACAAAAGCAACCGGTGCTGGCGCGGATGTGGCGAGAAAGGGACCCTCCTTCACTGCTGGTGGGAATGCCGGCTGGTCCAACCCTTTTGGAAAACAGTATGGACGACTCTCAAAAAATTAGAATTTGATCTGCCATTTGACCCAGCTATAGCACTCCTGGGAATATATCCCAGAGAGGCAAAAAGGTATAGTCAAAGTGACATCTGCAATTGTTTGTTCATTGCAGCACTCTTTACAATAGCCAGAATCTGGAAAAAACCTGAGTGCCCAAGAACAGATGACTGGTTAAAGAAACTTTGGTACATTTACACAATGGAGTACTATGTAGCTGTTAGAAAAGATGAAGTTATGAAATTTACATACAAGTGGTACTACATGGAAAGTATCATGTTAAGCGAAATGAGTCAGAAAGAGCGGGATAGACACAGAAAGATTGCATTCATCTGGGGAACATAAAGCAACAAAAAGTGAGAGTGACACACAGGAATGGCTGAGATTAGTACCAGGAATTTTGCTCCATGAATGGAAGGCCAGCCACAGGCTCTAGGTGAAAAGGAAGCTCAGATAGAGAAGAGATTACCAAATGAAGGGTGTTGTGAGGGCCCTCCCAGGGTGGGAGAAGCATGCTAAAAGTAGTCGATAGACCAAACATGATTGCCACTCAAAGCCTCTCTTGCAAAACACAGTACCCAAAAGAAGAGAGAGAGAACAAGGGGGAATACCCTGCCACAGAGGCAGGATGGGACGGGGGGGGGGGGGGGGGATGAGGGGGGGGATGCTGGGACCCATGGGGATGGATGACGGGCACTGGTGGAGGTATGGGGACTTGATCATTGTATAACTGAAACCCAAGCACAAAATTTGTAAGCCTATAACTGTACCTCATGGTTTTTCACTAATAAAAAAATAAATAAATAAATAAATTAAAAAAAAAAAAAACATTAAATGTAAAATTTAATATTCTAGAATGTTACATATTAAAATGAATTAATCTCAAATGAAAAAAAAAAAAAAAAAAAAGAAGAAGAAGAAGAAGAAGAAGAAGAAGAAGAAGAAGAAGAAGAAATGACTTTTTTTTTTTACAAATTTTCTATTACTGAAACAGTTTTGATAGTTCCATCAGTCATTTAGTTTTAACAATATAAAATAAATTATTGTATACCTGCTAGGGAGGCAGGCTTGGGAGCTGGTTGGGAAAGTGAGGACAATAGTGGAGAGAAGTTTCCCTGTGGTGGGACTGCTGCTGGGAAATCAAAAGTCTGTAACACCTGTATTATTACCAATTTTGTAAACCACAGTGTTTAAACAAAGTAAAACTGCACTGTAGCACTGTCCTCCCCTTGTTCATCAATTTGCTCCAGCAGGCTCAGTAACATCTCCATTGTGAGACTTGTTACTGTGTTTGGCATATCGAATAGGTCACAGTAGCTTGCCAGGCATTGCTGTGCAGGCAAGACACTCTCAGTAGCTTGCAGGGCTCTCCTAGAAGGGCAGAGGAATCAAACCCTGGTCGGCCAGGTCAGCCTCCTGCAAGACAAACACCCTACCTGCTGTGCTATTATTTTATAAAAAAAAAAAGTGATAATGAAGACTATGTAATCATTTACTAGAAACTGTGTTTAAGGTTTATTTGCATTAAAAATAATTTTTAAAAAAGTAAATTAAACATGCATACTGCTGTCTTGCCTCTATGCGATGTATCGTTGTTTGCCTATCACCACTCTGGAGATGTGGAAATGCCTGCATTCTCTCTTGAACACATTTCCTTTCTTTTACTCCACCTACATCTTCCTAAGCAATCTATGTTCAATAAAAACCACCTTGCTTCACGAAGAGAGAGAGGGGGAAGGAAGGAAGGAAGGAAGGAAGGAAGGAAGGAAGGAAGGAAGGAAGGAAGGAAGGAAGGATCAACCTTAGTCCACTAGAGTTGCTATAACAGATTATATACAACAAAAGAAATGTATTTTTCACAATGAAGATTGGAAATCTGATATTGAATTGCCTGTCTAATCAAGTGACAACTTTCAGAATTCTTCACATGGTGGAGGGAATATCTCCAACAGTTTCTTTTCTTAGAAGTGGTCAATTTTATTCAGAAGCTCAATTCTCATGTCTTTAGTACCTCCAAAGTCCCCACTGACTAGTACCAACTGCTCGGCATTAGGAGATTAATGTATTTCCTATAAAGGGGTAGCGGGCTGGGGGGGAGGGGATAGAAATGGAAACTGGTGGAAGGTGTGGTGCCATAATGTCTGATACATAAAAGCCTACAATCAACAATACTGAAAATCATGTTGCTGAACATAAAATCAAATAAGTATTTTTTAAAAGAAGTAATTTGTGGAGAACAGAAATGTTAATAACAAAGCAGAAAGTACAAATCATCTGGAGTCATGGAAGAAACAAACACCATCACCCCCAATCTACATCTCTAAACATTTTCCTTAATACTCAATTTTTTCATGTATTAAAGCAAGATGTCAAAAATTAATTTGCTCATATTTACTAAACAATGTAGGAAGGTATCAAGAGTTCAAAAAATCTAATTTAAGGTCCAAAATTCTGTAGCACTTAAAAGATTAGTAAATTTAGTGTTTTTTAATGAGCATACTACCTAATTTTACAATTTAATAAATATTGTAATTGTTGCCTTGCCGTATACTTTCCATAAAATCAGGGCTTATAGACTACAAAAGAATCAATCTATTTGACCTATGACTTAAAATACTGGTCCTAAAATTTCTTTAACACTCAATAAACATTACTTGAGTGGCTACTATGCACTCGTTTTCAAAGAATTGAGAATATACAGAATTAGCAAACAAAACAGAAAAGTCCCTGCTCTACAAGAGCTTATACTGCCTTGGAAAGGGGCTTATTTATACTAAATTGAAATCCACCTTTTGTATACTATAGCTACTTTTTCTCCTTTTCACTACAGATTTCAAAGAACCCTGGCTGACACCACATGTTAAAATGTCTCTTCATTCCATATAATATGTTCTTCTGGTAACTATAATACATATGACAGTACTTCAATAATTTTAAGATAAATTTTTAACATTATTTATTAAAAAGAGGGGAAATCACATTTTGATTGGAAATATATGTCCAAGTAATTGAGTAGTATTAAATACAAAATGCAATAGAAATGATCCCAAAACGGGATTTAACATCACCAACAGTATCACTGCTATCACATGGAGGTAAAAAATTAAGAGAGACAGTGACAAGGAAATACTATGCACTCATACAAACACTGATAGAGTCAAATGAACATTAACGATTTATATCAGACTTTATAATCATCAAATACCTGAAATCAATAACTCAAACTTGGGAACTCAATACTCGCACCACTCCTCAAGTGACAGGATATTCTGAATATAAAACCATGTGGACAAACAAAGAAGGACATGCGGCCTGCTCTTAGCAGGCCCTGAGGTCAATTGGGACACCCTTGCCACAGGAAAATATGTACAACAGAGTATCCAGCTCAAGGAGCAGAATGGGGGGAAAAAATCAGGAGAAGTCTGTTCCTAAACGGCACAGAGCTCCAGCAGATTACTGTTCCCCAGAGTTTCAGTCATCACAAAACCATCTTTATCAACATTCTTTCAAGGCAAAAATTCGAATGTGAACTGATTCAAATATAGGTTCTATTTTATATTAAATTTTCCCTTTTTCTACCTAAACTTTAACAACTACTCAATCACTCATTTAGATAAAGTTTCAAAATTCGACACATGTAGTAATACAACTAGTAAGTTTGTTGCATTACCAACAAGACAACAACCCTGATCTAATACATTACAATGTGCAGATGCAATCCTTCAAATTTTCCTGTACTCGAGTATTTCTGTTTCTCCCACAATTACCATTCATCAGTTTATGTTTGAACATTATAAATGAAACTTTACGTAGAGCTAAAAGCAAAAGAATCAGCAAAAATATAAATAAATAGAGAGAGAGAGAGAGAGAGAGAGAGAGAGAGAGAGAGAGAGAATACCTTTAACTTGGATCCATGAGGTATTACAGGAGATTTATTCTGTTTAGGTGGAATACGTAGCTCCCATTTTCCAAAATCCAGTTTTTGATAAGGATATGAAAATGGATTCCAATCATCTAAAAAAAAATAAGTAAATACTTATTTAAAGAATTTAAACAAAGCAGATGCTATTTGTTCAGAATCACAAGAAACCTAAGCTATTAATCAAACTACGGTTCCTTATGATGTTTGGGGGAGTCACACTCAGAGTCATAGAGATACCTTGGCTTGATGATTGAAGACCTCAGTAAGCTGGACATCCAACCTAGGCCTCCTGCGTACTGAGCACATGCACAGCCCTATCAGCCCTTCAAAAATATATTTGAGGGGCCAGAGTGATAATACAGCAGGGAGGGGATTTGCCTTGCATACAGTCAACCCAAGTTCCATCCCCGGTATCCCTTATAATCCCCTGAGAAACACCAGGTACAGTTTCTGAGTGCAGAGTCAGGAGTAATACATGAGCATTGCAGGTGTGACTCCCCCCCAAAAAAAAGTATTTGAAAGTTTTCTTTTTGCATCTTAAAAGTAAAAATGACAATATTCCAACTGTCCTTTCAACTGTGATACTTTTAACAATATAAATGGTGGCCTGAAGACAGTGAAGAAGTTAGGAGGCCTTCTCCCAAACCACACATCATTCCAGAACCACATGGTCACTGAGCATCACAGAGTCCTTCCCTAGAGGCCCTGCAGGGGTGGCCCAGAGAACCCCTGGCACCAAGCAGCACAGTATTCTCAGCAATTGTTTGAACCACTGGCCCGGTTGGCAAGTGCCATCAGTGGGGCCCCCAGCCCTTCTGAACACTGTCTGAGAGATACAATAAATAAATTAAACACAAATAAACAAACACACACAAAAATTATAGTGTTTTTTAAGAAATATCTAAGAGATAGTGTAACAGTACAAGTACAATTCAGATTAAATACTAACACATATATCCAAATTGAGAATAAAAGAATATAAATTAATGAAAATCTTACTACATTATCCAACATTACATTTGAAAGAACTGAGTTAAAATTCAAAGGAAAGTTTCCTTCCAACAAAAAGGTAGAAGTAGGGACTACATAAATAGTATCACTGTCACTGTCACTGTCCTCCCATTGTTCATCGATTTGCTGGAGCAGGACCAGTAACATCTCCATCGTGAGACTTTGTTGTTACTGTGTTTGGCATACCGAATATGTCACGGGTAGCTTGGCAGGCTTTGCTGTGCGGGAGAGATACTCTCGGTAGTTTGCCAGGCTCTCCAAGAGGGGCAGAGGAATCGAATCCAGCTCGGTCGAGCTGGCTGCGTGCAAGGCAAACGTCCTACCCATTGTGCTATAAATAGTATAGGGTTAAAAAATTTTCCCACACATAGCCAACACTAGTTTGATCCCCAGCACTGCATATGGTCCGTTAGGCACTACCAGGAGTAATCACTGAACACAAAGCCAGCATAGCCAAATGATCCAAAATCTAAAAATAAATAAATAAATAAAGCAGGAGCATAAACCATGGGGGGCAGATCCTGCATAAAATCCAAAGTGAGCAATAGACCCCCAATACACATAGCACTGTTATAACACTGTCCTCCTGATGTTTATTGATTTGCTCAAGCGGGTATCTTGCTGGGCTCTCCGAGAGGGGCGGAAGAATCAACCTGGGTCAGCCGAGTTGGCCACATGCAAGGCAAACACCCTACTGCTGTGCTATCACTCCAGCCCCCCCCCCCCCATACACATATGGGAACTAAATATATAATAGAAATTGGTATTAAAATGTAATGAACAAAGGACATAAATAGTATCACTGTCACTGTCACTGTCCTCCCGTTGTTCATCGATTTGCTGGAGCAGGACCAGTAACATCTCCATCGTGAGACTTTGTTGTTACGTGTTTGGCATATCGAATATGAATAAAAAACACTAGATGTTTCTCAATCATTAGCAGATAATGCTCTGCTTATTAAGGAACAAACACTGATATTTTAAATATACTCTCTTGCAACCACTGATACTTGAAATATACTCTCTTGCAACCTCTGCACACCTATGCCTGTAAAATACACATTTACACTTATGTAAATAATGAAACAAATTATCTAATAGCTCAAGAATCATCAGATGAAATATAATGCCTAATTACAATTGTTAAAATTGCCAAATGGTTAGAAGAAAACATAGAACTAGTATCACTGCTCTCAGCTTTAAACTTGTCTATAAAACAAGACCTAAAATCTTCACAGAGGCTGATAAACTTGACTCCAAAAATTAGAAATTTATACTCATCAATTCATAGATGCTACACAGAGAAAATGACAAGACAAGACGAACTACCTAGTAAGAGAATGCATTTGTAATGGATGTACACAAGAGGGAAAGCACCAAAGTATCTGAAGAACAAATACATGTCAGTGAGAAAAAAAAAATCAAATTAAAATGTAGGTGTATATGCTGCCTGTGTCCATGCATTGCTACCAAGAGCATGTGGTGCCTGAGCATCTGTGTCACCTGCATGTCCCCTCCAGAGACGGGAGCTTTCATACTTCAACACTGGGATGTGTACTAAGGCTCTCTCTCTACTATGGAGTCTTGTTCTCTCTTGAGAATACATGCACTTGTCACCACCCACAAACACACATACACACATCTAGCATATACCCACACTCTTCCTACATTCTCAAAATTTCCAAGTAAAACCTGTTTATACTCCAATAAATAAACAAACATAAACAAATCTATTCCGGGATAACACATAAATGGCCAAAAGACATAAATAATTATGTTCCTATTCATTCCTAATTAAGATAACAGAATGCCACGAGATACTGCTAGATGAGAAAAAAATACCAAGTTTGAAAATATCTCATAAGGATGGATTCAGCACTGCAATTGAAGGCATACATTGGCTAAAATAACTTGGCGCTATTTAATGTAATTAAAGATTTGTTAATTCCCTGGCCCAACATGTCTATTCCTAGATAGGACTGTTAGTAGGTAAAAACTTAAGGAAATCTACACATTTGTGCACAAAAAAAAATCTGAAAACCAATCACAAATGTCTACTGAAATATCAAAATTTAAATCAGCTATAAAATGTGCAAGTATACTGTGGGTATACTTAAATAGCACGATGTCATAATAGTATATAAACTGAACAGAGTGAAAAAACGATATCTATATACTCAAATAGCAAAAACATAAATGTTCATTTTAAAGAGTAGAAGGATGCTATCAAGAATATATCAAGTTCAAGATGTATTCAAAATATTATTATATAACACTTATTGACTTACACTGATGTATGCATGCAGTAAAAACATCAACAAGGAGTGGGGAAGCAATTTTTTTAATTATTATTTCTAGTCAGAAAACCTCCATCGTATCTGCTATATTTCATTTCTCAAAGTATGGTATATACATACAGACACTTATTTTTTTCTCTATTAGTTAAAGAAGTACAGTAACAATGTACTGTTATGACATAAGATTATGAATGGAAGAGATAACTGAAGCCTTAGGAAGCTGTTGGTACAGCATGGTTTCCTCCCTTACACACCAATTTGTTCACCCCTTTACCTCTAAGGATCTTCACTTTTAGCCAGTCTGAATATGGAAGATAGAGTTGGAATAAAAAACAATAATGAGTAAACAAAATTTAAATAAAAGTTGACTAAGTAGGGGCTGGAGAGATAGTGCAAGAGTTTAAAGCACATGCCCTGCACATGTGGCCAATTCAGGTTTAGTCCCTAGTGCCACGGCTCCCCATTCATCCCCAGCCACGGGAGTCCCTTAACACTGCTGCATGTAGTCCTAGAAGTGCTACTGGGGTAGCCTGATTAAAGTGCAGAAAGCCATGCGGAGATGGTCCGGGCCACCAAAAAGACCATCTTGCTGGTCAAGCAATGACTGCTGGAGGATGACAAAGGGCAGTTTGACTCCTCTGGCAGGAGATGCTGAACCCTGCCAGGGAGTCTCACTGGGTATCACCAGGTGGCTGGTTAATCACAGCACTACCCCGCAGGAGCCGAGCTGCATGCTATCTGCAGGTCTCACACTGGCTTAGCATCCTGCTCGATTAGCTGAGAATCACTGGGTAGGGATTCCATGGGCCAAAGGGCCAGCAACAACAAAGTTTATTAAATAGTGTTGCTCTGTTTCAGTTCAAAATACCTGGCCAAAATACTCACCCCTGCCATGACCTACCCAGTTTCTTCCTAAAGTGGTTTTCCCCATAACAGAAATAAGAACACTAGATGTTTCTAAATCATTAGCAGATAATGCTCTGCTTATTAAGGAACAAACACTGATATTTTATATATACTCTCTTGCAACCACTGATATTTGAAATATACTCTCTTGCAACCTCTGCACACCTATGCCTGTAAAATACACATGCAATTGAGAACCTAACACAATTCAGGCTGCATTACTAAAACCTTCAAGCATTTCTTACCAGTTCCTTACTTGCCATCATGAAGACAATCTGAAAATAGCTAAGGCAGTTTTATCTTCAAGAGAAGTTCAATAAATACTGCATTAACATATTCTCCTTCCCTTAACAGTCTCAAGAACACACACACACACACACACACACACACACACACACTTATAAGTCCTTTAAAAACAGAGCTCAGTGTATAACTAGAGGCAGAAAACATCTGAAATAGATATATATGCGCAGTGTAGCACATATGTTTATTGATTTTTTTTCTGTTTCGGGACCATACCTGGTGCTGCTCAGGGGTTACTTCTAGCACAGTGATCAGCCCTGGTGGGCTAAGAGAACATTATGGGATGCTGGTGATTGAACCTGAGTCAGCTGTGTGCAAGACACATGCTCTACCCACAGTACCAGCACTCCAGTCCCATTTATTGTTAATTTTTAAAATAATTAAGACAACAAATTTAAGACAAACTATACATCTTTTCCTGGAATCTTAGATATAAAAATAAATATCATAATTCTTCATTTCATAATTTCACAATTCATAAATTCATTAAATATTTGCTGAATACATAATGGATGCCTTTCTCAATGACAAACTCAATTCCAGTGTTCTGACTGGCAGACCAGTCGCATCAAAGAAAGGTCAAGTCCAGTTACAATACAGAAATTGAACAGTAAAAATTCATAATGCACTATCCTCTAAAAGTTCAACTATAAATGAAGCTGTTAGCTTGAAAGTGAAACTGCAATTAAATGAGAAATTTCCATATGCATATTTACCTGAAAGCTATTTACAATATTATAAAAAAAGATTTTTGATTGTCAGGTTTTAGTTTTTTCACTTGAGTAAGATCTGCTTGCACAAAATCTTAATATTTCTATAAAGAAAAATACTTTTGCAGAATCCAACTTCTATCTAAATCTCTTCAAGTACATGTTGTCATTCAACATTCTCTCCTCTTCCATAGTTTCACTTACCTCTTCAGGAACTAATATATTACGTAGCAACCTTCTCCTGGAGAAAAATAGGTATCAACTTTCACTGCTATATTTTCTATTCAATCAACTTTCAAGTCAAGATTTAGAACATCCTAAGAAGCACTTCAAATGAAAATCTATCACTCTCATAAGTAACACAGAATATCCTAAAAAGTTTCCAACTGGAGAGAGAAACAAAGCTGCAAGGCACACCTGCATGAAACAATTTCAGATATTTGGTAGTAACAATTCTTTTCCCATAAAGGAGCCTAAAATGGGTTTACTAAAAGAGTTGTCAATAAAGTCAGTTTTTCTCCATAGGTTACAGAAAACTAAATCATAGAACCAGAATCATGAAAACCACTAGATTTGGGACAGAATAGCTCAAGGGCCTGGAGCACATGCTTTGCATGTGGGAACCTCAGGTCTGATTCCTGACAAAGTGCAGTTCCACAGCAGTGTTAGAAGTGACCCCCATAGCTCTCACTGGGAGTATCTCCTGAGCACTAACAAGTATAGCCACAAAACAAACCAACAGAATCTCCTTTAGCTTTAGAATTGCTTTCATAAAATATTAATCTCTGAGTTATGAAAGAAGAAAGCATCACTAAGGTATGATTGTAGGAACCAATACTGGACGTCAATAGTCAAAATTAAGTAAAAATTAAATATAAAATTATTGATTCAAACATAACTAATGTAAGAGATTGGGGAATTTAAGTCAAAGTTTTTATATAGAAAAACAAGAAAAATTATAAATTAAAAAGAAAATTTAGGGGCCATTATGTTTTCTACAATAAGAGACATTAAACCAATCATAACGAGTGCTCGCTACGCAGCACATATACTAAAATCGGAATGATACAGAGAAGATGAGCATGGCCCTTGCGCAAGGATTACATGCAAATTTGTGAAGCATTCCAAATTTTTGTAACAAAATAAGAGACTAACAACCAAGAATAGCAGAGAAAAGCACCAGGAGGTTTACTCCATGGCTTGGAGGCCAGCCGCACACTCTAGGGGTTAAGGCAGCTCAGATAGAGAAGGGAGCACCAAATAAAGGGTGCTGGGAAGATCCACCCAGGATGGGAGAAGCATGCTGAAAAGTAGACTATAGACTGAACATGATTGCCACTCAATTCCTCTTCTGCAAACCACAGCACCCAAAAGGAGAGAGAGAACAAAAGGGAATGTCCTGCCACAGAGGCAGGTTGAGATGGGGGGTTGGGGGGGGGGTGGGAGGGATACTGGGACTGGTGGTGGTGGAGAATAGGCACTGGTGGAGAGATGGGAACTCGATCATTGTATAACTGAAACCCAAGCACAAAAATTTGTAGGTCTACAACTGTACCTCATGGTGTTTCACTAAATTTTTTTTTAAAAATAATAACTAAAGTAACAATAATAATGAAATAAAAATTTTAGCCACATTAGATAGATAGATGCATACATACATACACATATACAAAGACAATACACTAATAGAATCTGAATACTCAAACCTTCTTATTTCAATCTTAGATTGTTTATCCTAAAAGAGAATTAAATTGTTATATAATTAATATAGTTTGCATTCTTAATTAGGCCTCAAGATGTCAAAAACATTCCCCAGTGAACAGACTATGCGTTAATCCACGCCACAATGTCTGCCCAGAGGGGAAAGGGTGTTGGTCCCTTCCACCTTCTTCCCTCGGGAAAGATGGCAGCCTCTTGGGAGCCTTGTGGAAAGCCAGGTATGAGCCAGTGGTAATGGGGCGACTAAAACCTCAAGGGAAGGGGGGGATTCCCAGCTCATCCTTCACGCCCTACCGAGGTCACCAGTTGCCCCCCAGGAGCGGCTCTCCAGCACGGCCATAGCTCCAGAGCACAGAAACCAATCTCTTAATTAACTGACTCTCAGTAGAAATACTTCCAGGGTTAATAAGTAAAATAGCAGAAATCCAAAACCTCGCAGCCGCTATTGCGCAATAGCGGCCGCACAACATCATTTAATTCTTGAACCCAGCTGTAGAAAGCAAATCATTTCACAATGCTTTTTCAGCATGTCTGATTTTGGGGTGTAAACTCTAAATAATAATGGTGCATCTTTTTATCGAAACAATGAATCTAGTCAAAGTAGATAGAGTGTTAACTAGAATTCATCTGCCTCATAGGCATTGGGAGGGGTGAGGGGTGGGGGTTTATTGGAGTTCTTCGTGGTGAAAAATAAGTATTGGTAAAGGGAAATGTGTTTGATATTTGCATGACCGGCTCCCTCGGCTCCCGGCGGCAGCCGGCCCCAAGCCTCACGCCCAGAGTAGCGGCGGACAGGGCGCGCAGCGAGTGTTAGTCTTTAGGTCACACCTGGGTGATGCTCAGGGGTTACTCCTATGCTTGGGAGACCATATGGGATGCCAGGGATCAAACCCCATAGGGCACCTTCAAGTACTGGATTCTTTACTTAGTTTCAGGAATGAACTTCAGGTGGTGATTCATATGGAACATCAATTTTCTCAGAGTTAAGTGAAAGTTACTGGCTTATTAGTTAGCTGCCCCCGCGCCTGGCTGTCCTCACTGGGGCCCCTTGGAGGTCAGCGGGTTGAGCTTTCCTCCCCACCCCGACCAGGGCTCCGGCAGCCAAAGACCTCCATGACCAGCCACCACCGTGCTGAGACCACTCTCCGCACACATGAAGGTACCGGCAGAGGAACAAAGGCAAGCAGGACCCGGGACTGAGATCTCCAAGCCTACTCAGATCGGAGCTGAGAATCCTCCCCCCAGATCCTTCGAATTCCAGTAGGCAGGGGTCACACCCACCAACAGGACCCCTGGCGCGGTGTAATCCCATCAATGGCCAAGACTCAGAGACTATAAAACCCAGATCCCGGAAGAGAACAGCGCAGTCTTCTTCCCCCGCGCCTGGCTGCATGTCATCTTATCATCTCATTCCTACTTTGGACAAACTGGCAGGCTACCGAATGTAACCTGCTCACACGGCAGAGTCTGGCAAACTCCCCGTGGTGTACCCAATATGCCAAATACCAGTAACAATGTAGGGTCTCATTCTCCTAACTCTCAAAGAGCCTTGAATATGGCACTTTTTAAAAAAAATCTCAGGGCTAGGACGAAGGAGACGTTACTGGGGCCTGCACAAGGCAATCGACGAATAACAGGATGATTGTGATTGTGATTGTGATTTGCATGACCGAGACCTAAACCTGAAAGCTTTGTAACTTTTCCCACAGTGATTCAATAAAAAAATAAATTAAAAAAAATTCCCCAAAACTTTTGATAATTTTTTTGATGAAGTACAAAATACACTGTAGCACTGTGACACAGATTTGATTCCTCCGCCCCTCTCAGAGAGCCTGGCAAGCTACCGAGAGTATCTCACCCGCACCGCAAAGCCTGGCAAGCTCCCCGTGACATATTTGATATGCCAAACACAGTAGCAGTAGCAACAAGTCTCAATGGAGACATTACTTGGCCCGCTCAAGCAAATCAGTGAACAATGGAAGGGAGGATAGTGTTACAGTGCTACGAACTACACATTCACAAGTTTATAGTTTACTAGTTCTCAAATTTCAGTTCACTAAAAAATCACCAGGGTTTGATAAACCAGATTGAACCAGATTGTCGAGTCCTACCCTGAGAGTTAGGGTATGGAAGGGTAGGTAGTTTAGGTAGTCAGACCTAAACTCATTAGGTCTGATTAAAAATTCCCATTTCTAAAAATTTCCAGTTGATGGTGATGGTACTAGTACATGGGCCATACTTTTGAACTAAAGAACACCCATTTCAAAAGGTATGTTCGTGTATTTTCTATTTGATGTTTTGTCATTGATTTTCTAGATTAAATTAAACTTAGACAATCAAATAAAAGTTTTATTACATAGGCCAAGAACATTATGAAATTAAAAAGGTGTTAATAATCCTTTAAAGCAAACAGTACATGAAAATTAGCACTTGGGCTAGAGCGATAGCACAGCGGGTAGGGCGTTCACCTTACAAGCGGCCAACATGGCCGACCCAAGTTCGATTCCTCCACCCCTCTCGGAGAGCCCGGCAAACTACCGAGAGTATTCGATATGCCAAACACAGTAACAATAAAGTCTCCAATGGAGACATTACTGGGCCCGCTCGAGCAATAATTTGAAGCTGACTACAATAAACAAACGTTCAAAACAGCCAGTGAGATATGGATTACAGAACAGATTTGAGACACTAGGATTTTAAATGTGTTTATAGGAGGAAACCAACATTGGGCAGTTTGAACGTCAAGAGATAATATGGATTAAAATTATTACTAAGTATGTTTTCGTACTATCTTCAGAAAAGGTTTTCTATGGCATGATCCATAGAAAATTTATTCAAAATTGAATAATAATAATAATGAATTGAATGTGTTTACAACAGGGGGCAATGGCCATGGTACCTGGTCAGTATTAAGGAATAATAGAGCTAAATGTCCAAAACATAGAGTCAACAACACTGAAATCATAATACCTAAACTTTAATAACCAAACTTAAAAGGAAGCCTATCAGGATGGCAGGCTAGGGGTGGGATAGGAGAATGAACATGGGAAAAGTTGACAATGGTGGAGGGATCAGTGATGGAACATGCCATATCAAAAATGCAACTATGAATGATTTTGTAAATCATATTGCCTTAATGAATTAAATTTAGAAAAATAAATTAATTGAAAGCTTTTACCTTAAAAGTGGCATTTAATATTTGTAAATGTTAATATATTAATCTGTCTTTCTTAGCATGTCACCTTTTTTTTTTAATCATAATCACCACATTGTGAGGTTTAAGGATTAGACACCCACCAAACAGAGTGTGAATGTGATTTCAGTTTGGGTAAAAAATTTAAGAACGTGTTTTCTGCCTGTATAAGTTATTTCAGGTACCATTTTCTAAGACATGTGATGTATATCAAGTTTAGATAACTACACATTTAATAGATATTTCATTAAAATTCACCATCATATTTGATAGGCCAAAATTCATCATCATATTTGATAATGCAAAAGATTCTATTTGTTCACAGACTGAAAAGCAGCAGACAAAATTTAAATCGAGATAAGAAAAAGAAACGATGTGTGATGCAGTTTAATATGAACTGCAAACACTTTCGGCACAGGCGATCAAACATTAACTAAGGTCACTGTATCAGGCGCAAAAACTCTATATTTATCTCCAACTCAACAACCTTTCTTTTTCTAATGTAATAATCCTCACATAAAATTCTTAAATGTCAGCCTACTTCAAATATTCTCAAACTCTTTAACTCAGAAAAGTACTTAGTCACTTCTGTAGAGTTTCTGAGTTTAATATATATTTCTCTTATGCATGCTAATGATACCAACTTAAATTCAATGCAGACACCGATGTGCTGAGGAGCATGGTTTGATCACTGTCAACTCTTGACACATACACACTGTAGTGCCTAAGCAGGGAGATTAAGATTCCTATGAATGCAGCAGCTAATACTGATATGTATACTCATCTATACTGCATACAACAGGCTGCACGCTGATTTGTATACTGGTCTATACCAATCTGTGTGAGCAAGCTGTCAGATTGGTAAGGCATTTCTTATCTGAAATTCACTCCTAAGTAATAGTTGTGAAATAACTCATATCACCTCTTTGAAGCAAGTAAGCACATTCCACATTACACAAATATCCATAGCATGCATACTTTACAAATAACTATTAATGACTGTCAAGATAGAAATTTGGGAGCTGATCTCATGTCACTTTATTCCCAAGGAATACGTTATATTGAACTAGACATTCCTCTGTCATTGCTATAACACATATTTATGAAAGACCATACAACCTCTGATAGTGATAGTGGGAAAAGCAGTCCTTTGAGCTTCTTTTTTTTTTCTTTTGGGCCACACCCAGCAATGCTCAGGCATTACTCCTGGCTTTGCGCTCAG